TGTCCGTCTGTCCGTCTGTCCGTCTGTCCGTCTGTCTGTCCGTCTGTCTGTTTCTACGCGAACTAGTCTCTCAGTTTTAAAGATATCGAATTGAAACTTTGCACACACCCTTTGCACGCAGTATATAAGTCGGAACGGCCGGGATCGGCCGACTATATCCTATAGCTGCCATATAACTGAACGATCGGAAATGCCATAACTTTGGTGTTTGTAATGTTAGGAAGTTGGGATTTTCTATGGGTTTTATATTTGGCTAATCAATCCGACATGCCGAATTTCATAAGGATCGGCCGACTATATCCTATAGCTGCCATATAACTGATTGATCGGAAATGCCATAACTTTGGTGTTTGTAAAGTTAGAATGTTGGGATTTTCTATGGGTTTTATATTTGGCTAATCAATCCGACATGCCGAATTTCATAAGGATCGGCCGACTATATCCTATAGCTGCCATATAACTGATTGATCGGAAATGCCATAACTTTGGTGTTTGTAAAGTTAGGAAGTTGGCATTTTCTATGGGTGTTATATTTGGCCAGCCAATCCGACCTACCAAATTTCATAAGGATCGGCCGACTATATCCTATAGCTGCCATATAACTGAACGATTGGAAATGTCATAACTTTGGTGTTTTTAAAGTTAGGAAGTTGGGATTTTTTATGAGTATTAAGAATGCATCATATGAATAATTTTGGAGAATATAATTTACAGAGTATTCTGCAAGGGTATATCAACTTCGGCTCCGCCCGAAGTTAGCTTTCCTTTCTTGTTATAATATATTACAGTTTTTTAAAATAGCTAATGTATGAAAATTTCAATCTTGCTGTGTAACTCCTGATAACAATATTTTTATACCTCATAAGAAATGCTAATTTTTGTCTTCCAAACTATAGGTTTTTCACCCCACTCAAAAACCAATTACATATTTCGACATTTGTTCTTCTCAACTTAATTCTGTTCTGCGAAAAATCAACTACAAAACTAACTTTCTTGTTTTTGCTTTACATTTGTTTTTACTTGGCTTACTTTTATGTTCACAATGAACATGAAAATCTACAAGAACAATAAACAGAGCAAATAATAAAAAATTTAGCAAAAAAAAAAAAAAAGACCGCAATAACAACAAAAGCGATGGCAATGGCAATAAAAAGAAACATTCAACTCTCGCAACTCATACAACTTGTCGGAAGAGAAAGTGAGGAAAAGCGGGAAAAGTCCAAATTGGGGGGAAAAATTCCGAAAAGTGTGCAATATTTTTTTTGCTGTTGGTCCTTCAACTTTTGGTGGCTCGTTGCTGACTTGGCAGGCCGACACAGTAATTAATGCTTGTAAGTGGTCCGCGTCGGTGGCTGAACATAAATGTACCACACTCGAAAACCAGTGTATTATGCATTTGATAAAAATCTGGATGAACAACGACTCCTAGTCTAAAAAGTAAATTTATTATTGAACCGAAGTGGTTTTATCCATAATAAACATCTCAGGACCTATGCTCACAACATGTTTATGTCCAAAATGACCAACAAAAAGCGGTTTTCAATATAAGTTACAAGTATTTTTCAGAGAGTACTGCAAAAAACACTGCCGGGTATTTAATAGTCGAGTATAATGTTTCTTGTGCTCAACCAAAAGCTTGGACTTGGCTTGTTAATTGCACGTTGGCAAACATATGTTCTCTTGTAAATGTGGATTTCCACACACTCCCCCAGTAGAGCAATTAAAAAATGTTACCAAAAACCTCGGCAGAAAAGACATTTAACTTTTCTGAAATTGTGGGTACTTTCGTTTCATTCTGTTCTACGGATGTTTATAACACATGGCGTATGCGTGTTACGGCTGCAGGCGCTAACTTTCGGACAAACTTTTCTCTTATCAGCTGACGATAAAAATATAAAAGAGAAACCTCCTCAAAATGAATGTTCGTATGGGATGGATGAGGATGTATAAGTTTTATAGACACATCTGGCGGTTGGCTATATAAATTCCAAGTTTGTTGCTGTTTGAAAGTTAAACGTTTCTTTTTTCCTAGCTGTTGCATATGTGTATGTAGAGGTCGCTGCACACATATTTTATGGGTTTAACCAAGGGAAAAGAAACAGTATTTTTTCCACGATAAGTTGACCAAATGCTGGCAAATTGATGTTCATGCTGGGAATGGCTTGCGGTTGCCGTTGTAGGATTTAAATGGTTATAGATACAAACTTAAAGCCATTTAAATGTTACAATTTACTGTAATGATGAGAGAAGCTCAATTTATTTCTATTATTTCATTTTTGTTTATTTATTTATTTCTAAATATATTTTAACTTAAAGTCAAACCTATAGGAAAGACAATTGAGCTCCATGAAAATATGTTTAACAAATTTGGGAAACAACGTTTTTTTTCGGAAAAAAGGGTATATAGATAAAATATAAGTATGTCAAAATAATGACCAACTCTTTTGATATTATTTTCTTTAGCTTGTAGTGTTATTTCCTCGAAAATTTAAGGTGATTTTCACTCGTTTGACCAGCCTTAATTATTCATCAAAGACAGAGTGTTTGGCGATAGTCACGCCCGTTTCTCATTACTCACTAAGACAAAGACAATATCATTCGATTGGGCTTGTAATTACATTGGATAGCCCACTCACCTAACACATAAAGTGATTAGGCAGTTTATAGCCGAAAAGCGTTGAATCATTTTGCAGCTGCGGTAAGAATTTAGTATTAGTTTGCGTGTCATTGGGCTTGAATTACAGGTTTGCTTCTAACCAAGGTTAAGGTGTCCTGACCTTCAAGATTAATAATAGTATCCCAATATACTAAACAATACCAATGATTATTTATTATCAGGTTTGTTTTTAAGATAACAAAAGTTTTTCAATTTTTATATAAGTATATAGCTTATATTCAATAAAGGATAATAATGTTGGTGACAGTAAAATTGTTTGAAATGTATTTCAGCTCTAGAGGTCTTCTTAACATTTAAATATATCCATCATATGTTATATTAATGTCTTATCTAGTCACACGGCAATATACCTATGTACATTTTATACATTATCACGTTTGTTTTTTATATTTTTTATAAGTTCCAAGCTTAGTTTTAAATGTAGCTTGGTGTGAATTTTATTTATAACTTTTCTATTTTCAGTTTTGTGTAGCATACATTCCGGCGCCCACCCTCCATATTTCTCATTCGCCCTCTTGCAGAACAACAGCAGCCACTTTATGTAGGCTCTCTTAGGTTTGTGTGTGTGTGTCTGGCAATGTTTGTGTGTATGTTAGATGAAACTAGAGCGCACCTTGATTCTATTTTTAAATGCCACACAAAACAACAGTTGTCGCTTAGTCGTCGCGTTAAGTGTTTTTCATCCAGCTTCCTGCGAACCAAGTTCATTTCATTGTGCAGGTGCAGCTCTTATTGACTAAAAGCCCTTAAAATAGTTGGCCAAATAGACACAAGGATTTTATAAATAGATGGTAGCGCATTGAGTTTAGAAGAATGAATTAACACTTTTTAAAAAAAATTAAATTAAGTGGGGGCCAAAATCACTTTCTTTCGGCAAAGTACATTGTTTCAGTGTGCTTTCAACATCACGATTTATTAAAAAAAAAATTGTAAAATCTAAGATTAAGCAGAATGAGATTAAATTTAATTTTATTATGTACGCTAGAAACTTATTTTTGAAATTTTTTTATTTAATTTTTTATTGGCGTATAAGTAATACAAGTAAAATGCAAATAAAAATTTGTTTAACGTCAACACTTTAGTTTGATATTAGATATAGTTTATCCATATTTTTTATCTCGTTGAGACTTTTAAAACTTATTCAACTTAAAACAATAACGATATCAATGTCGCCTGGTTAAAAATAAAACTATTCCAGCATAAGTTGACTTCTTTAATCGGATGTGCATCTAAATGGAATAGGCATTTGGTTTATGGTTTATTGCTTTACTGCACGATAGTTCTGTTAGTGCGAATCAATTGTTGCACACAACTTTTGTTTGTTTGTTTGCCCTTAACTGCTTGTCGGGGATTAAATTGCACGGCAAGTGAAGCTTAATAATTGGAATTGTTTTCGGGTGTATTAAAGTGAATATTAAAACTAGAAAGTCTGCCAGTCATCCTATATATTAAATTGATTGTCAACTTATCAATACTAAATATACATTATATTTGTCTTTAATGCCTTTAATATAATTTCATTAAAGTCAAGAAAACAAAATACATTTTGACTCACAGATAAAAACTCACTTAAAATAAACAAACTTTCGGAACTTGGTCGAAAAGTTATAAATATAAGCAATTTTAAATATTTTTCAAAATACTGTGAATGATAAACAAATGCCGCCAGGTGCTCTTTTGAATTCATAAATATTTCTTTAAATAAATATGAGAAATTGTAATGGTAAATCTAAAACTCACGAAAATTCTAAATATACTCGATGAATTAAATACAAAATTACGGAAATGTTTCTCTTTGCTTTTAGTTGTCGGAATTATTTAATAGAAAATCTGGAATGGTTCAAACTTCAAATAAAAACGCTTAGTAATTTTCATAATTTCGCAAAAAAATAAACAGATTGTCAAGACCTTTTTTTCGCTTTTTTCAGGTGGTTATTTGGATTTTCAGAGCTTGCATGTGGGGCCTGTACGAAAATGCGTTGATGTGTTTGCGACTTTGGCGCCTAGTCAAATAAATCGCATGCGATTAAAATTTTATACAAATAGCTTTAGAGGCGTGCGTTTTGCTTTGTTGTGTTCCAGTTGCCCTGCCGTTTCCACCTTTTCCTTTTTTTTACTAGTCTTGAGCTTTGTTGTTTTTTGTTTGCTTTTATGGGGCATGGCGTCAGTTAAATGAGTTGTTGTTTATAGTTCTTAAGCATGTGTGTGCGAAAAATTTGCATTTGTAGCGTAACGCTTTTGTTTACTTTGTAGGTTAGTTTGTTAGCCCATTGGCTTATATACACACACTCGGCTTTATATATATATATATATATAAAGTTACCTTCGATGCCTTTTGATGGTGACGGCAGCGGCGGTGACGAAGAAAGCGGCGAAAGCAGACGGAGAAATTGGCCAAAACGGAGATGAGGAGCAGGAGGCTATGGGTGGTGTGTGGGTGGTATTAACCTCAAAGCATGCCAGCAAACCAGCTCCTTGAGAATACTTGACTCCTTTCGATATTTTCTGCCCTCTTTGCGTGTCTCGTTTTAATTTGTTAATGATTTCGGCTTATTCATTTATTTGCATACTTTGGCGCTCACTTCTTTATTGGTTGTAAGTTACATTTTAGCTTAAGGTCCTGTCTCAACGATTGTTGTTGTTGCTATTGCTGTGGAAAATGCCAGGCAGAAGCAGCCGCAGCAGCGCAAAAAAGGAACAAGAAGAAAAACTGTATCTTTTAGATCCGGGCATATCCTTTATCTCGAACAGCGGCAGCGACGCTGGCAGAAACAGCAGCTGTAGCTGGAAAATTTCTGCCAACTTGTTTGTCCAATTTTGTTGGTTACTTTTCAAAAATACTGAATATTTTATTTTTGATAAGTAATATTTGCCTAGGTCCCAACGAAACAGCAGCAGCAACAATCGTTACCATTGAAATCCAGAAAAAAAACTCGGGAGCAGCAAAAACCGCGCAGCGCTTTCCCCGTTTACTGTTTTTCCGCCAGAGACACTCACTTTTCCACACTTTTCACCCAAATAAAACCAGAAACCGTTCGACGCGCGCACGCGAGTGTCCTATACACAACTGATTACAGGACTGCGAAAATGGAAAATGTTTGCCAGCAGCGACGCTTCGGTTTTCACTTCGTTCGGTTCGCTCGTTTCACTCGGAAAATGTCCGGCTATCGCAGCCAGGCTTCTTTAGCCGAAATATCCGACTAAGCACAGCTTGGGCCAGAGGACTCCGCAGGCTCCGCCGCCACATCGCATTTCCCCCACGCATCCGGACGGAGAGAGAGCCGGAGAACCGGAGACACTCCGCCGGAGAGAGAGTTCGCCGGAGAGCCAGCGCGCTCACTTGGGTGTGCGGGTGGGAATTATCATGGCCCTTGGTGGTTACAGTGGGCTAATGGATGTGAATAGATTTTAGGTAATTTTTACATATATGATAAAAAAATATATCTAATAAAAATATATGATTACAATTGGAGAGCTGAAGGCCTATAACAGCTATAACTCAGGCGTTTGTTTTGTTAGCTCTTAGCTTTAACTACAAGTTAGCAATGTATAAATAAATAAATAAATAAATAAATAAATATAATAAATTATAAAAACAAAATGTATGTATTTAGTAAGTAAAATGTTAATTTAGCACAGAAGATGCCAAGCGGCTTAGCAACGAGCAACAATATTAATATGTGTTCGTGTTGTATGAGTAATTTTTGAAAATATGAAAATGGTTCGAGTACGATTTACGTTAGAGTTTTAAAAAAACATTAAAAATGTATTGGCAAACGAATTACCAGTTTTTTAATATTTTGAATAACTTTAACGCATGATATTTAGATTCAATTTTAATTTGCAAAAACATGAACATTTAAGTCTCAACGTTTTCTAAATTCCTATTAAAACCTTTCCACTGTGCAGGCAACACTCATATGCCTCATTCATCTTGCTCAGCCCGCACAATTGGCTGCCAAAAATATTGCCACACCATCGTCGTTGACTTTGTCCTTTAAAACCGAGAGTCAGGCAGTCTGGCAGCCTCTACTTTTCTGGTCCCGAATTGTGGTCTTCTGTTACGCTGCTGTTATCCTTGCAGACCGAGAAGGTCCTGAGAAATGACACCCATGAGCTTAGGATGAACACGACGCCGTGCCACCCAATCCCTCCAAAAAGTGCCGCCTCCAATGCTGCTAGCTTTTCACATATACGTACTTATGCTCGTGTGTTGGACATTTGCACTGTTTTTTCGCCAACGAAAGGACGTGGAGGTTTCCACAGCTAAATGACAAGTGCTTAGTGTTTTGCATGTGCGTATGAACGAGCACTGAGAAAAATTCGCGAAGTTCAATAATGAAAAAATATTCTTAAGTACTTTTATTTGTCTTCGCTCCAAATGCTTTTTTAGCTTACAACATTTATTTTCTCTTAAAGGCAAACAAAATATGTTAAAAGATTTATCCAATTATTATTGTCCATAAAAATTGGCATTTTGTTCAACTATATAAAATTTTTTTAATTATTCATTTGGAAAATTTGTAATATTCTTGTTTAAAAATTTAATTAAGATTAATTAGTATTATCGTTAAATTAGTATCTGAAAATAGATTTGCAATTGTTTAGCTACGTAAGTTTCTCAGTGTAGGATTTAGCTGCGTGATTTTCCCATTCTCATTTTTCAAGCTGGAAAATGGGCAACTTGGCCAAAGAGATGAGGACACTTGGCGCACGCTTGCGCGGCTTTCAAATTTAGCGTATTAACTCATTAAATGTTCAAAAGCTCATTGCCTGCGAAATGTGCACACATTTTTGTAAGTGCGAGGGTGTGAAATATGCACAAGTATGACATTTTGGGGCCGTGAAGGCGACTTTTTAATACCGCTTGATGAGCAATCAGGCGGGAGAGACTTAACATAAACAGTATTCATTATATATTGTATATATATATATATATTGTATATATATACATATATTGTATATTGTATATTTTTCATTAAATTTTGTAATTACCTTTGCAAGCTTTTTGTTATAGCAATCTGTATTTAACCACCCGAATAAAAAAACGTCGAGACCTCGAGACCCCGCATAATTGCCCCTACTTTCATATGCAGCTCTTTATGCAATTTAAATTAATTTGTGTAATTATTTTAGTGGCTTAACTGGCTTTATTTTAACACCCTCATAAGCGCTGAGTGACCGCTGCCAACAGTTGGCGTTACGCATACGCCACGTTGCATGCGTCTTAAATATTTTATGTCGGAAATCTGAGGCCCGGCAAAAATGACAGCTGCGTGTTGAAAATAATTAAGGCGCAATTATAACGACCCTGGCCACGAACCACAAGCACTCACCGCCCATCCTTCAAAAAACTCCCACCTATACGCCTGTTGGCATTGCAATGTGTTGCATGCAACACCAGACTTTGTGGCGGCGCCAAGAATGACGAAAGCAATCCATGGCCATTGAGCTTATGGGCTATCGTGGAAAATAGTGCGCTTCTGATGGAAATCTGAATGTCGGTTCAGATTTATATTTGTAAATACCTTTAAATAAGGATATAATTGTAAATTTTTTCAAGTCATACCTTGGTAAGAAAAAGACCTCTAACTTTTTTTAACATTAAGTGGCAACTTTATATTATTGTTTATAATCATTATCTTTATAATTTTTAAAAGACTTTAAAGCGTAATTCCTTTCAAAGTTTTTAATGATTAAGTCCACGATTTTTAAAGGTTTAATTAATATTTTTAAATGTAAAAATTTCAGTAATTTTTAGGCTTGTATTTTTAAAAATTATTGTGCTTTTATTATTGAGAACAAATTTAAAGAAAACAAAAAATTAAAAACGCCTTAAACTTTTTTCCGGCTTTTCATTAATTATACAATTTTAGTAATAATTTTATCATAGGTGTATGTCAGTAAATTAGGCTAATATTGAAAAAATTTTGTTTGCAACAAGTAGTATTAAAAGCAAAGAAAGGTATTATTCATATAGCACTTTCCTTAAAGTTAAAACCAATAAATTTGCTGATTTTTAAAAAATATTAATGATTTCATTACCATTTAATAAAACTCAAAACCATTTGATTTCAGGAAACACGATTTACTCAATTTGTTGTTGAACAGTAACATACGATCACCGTCGGCATTCCTTTAAATAAATACAATATACAAAGTACAATAAATAACTAGTACAAAATTCTGACCATATTGTAATTGATGACGTTTTTTAGTTGAGACATGAATGACACGAAATGCTTTAAAGGGAAGGCTCCTTTGCCGTCCGTTATTTGGATAGAAGTACAGTACAGGAGGACAGTCGATTTTTTAGTTTGCATTGGCATCGATTAGGGCAGGCACTTCTGATATAATAATCGGCTGTTTGGCGGAAGCAGAGTCGCCATCACCCTCGATCACCTGGGATTCTGTGGCAGTCTGAACGGTCTGCTCCTGGGTGTTTTTGACATTTGAGGCATCACCCGCTGCTTGCAGTTCGGCATTGGAATCCGTGTCAGCTAATTCCTGATCCCCATTAAGTTCTTCATCGGGTGTGGATGCGGCCGCTGCTGCCGCCGCTGCTGCGGCTGCCTTTGCCTTGGTCTTCTTCTCCTTCTTACGAATATTCTTCTTGGCATTGTTCGCCTGCCTCTGCTCTTCGGCCTTGTTCTTCTCCTCAATGGCCGTCTTGGATTCGCTGGCCGTTAACAGCTTCATTTGGTTCTGCAGATTGGCTAGTGTTTGCTTCAGTTCCGCACAATTGCGAGTCATCATCTCCATTTTAACATTATCCGCACTGACGGGTTTTACGTTGACTGGCTCCGGTTCTGGCGGCAGTTGCGGCAGGGCGGGAATTTCGATCTCGTTGTCTCGCAGGCATTTATGCAACGTGGTTCGTTCCTGCTGAAGAGCACGCAGTAACTTCTGCAGTTGCTGTATCTGCTTTTGCAGACGATCCGAGTGCTGCGCCTGCAGGTTCTTCTCGGTGGCCAAATCGATCACCATAGCGTTGGCCTTCTCGTACTTCTGTCGCCAGCCTAGCGCCTCCTTCTCGATCTTCTTCGTGTGCTTGGACATCTTTTCCAACTCTACTTTGTAGCTGCCAAATACCTCGTTGGACTTTTGCAGCGACTGCTGGAAGTCATCATACTTCGCCGTGTAGATGTTAAGCTGTTCCTTTAGCTGGTGCTCCCGATCGGTGAGATCTTTGATGGCACGCTGCGCTTGCAGCAGCTTTTCCAACCCAATTTGGTTTTCCCTGAAAGAAGGTATGCAATTTAGAAATGCAAAAACAGTGCTTATCTGCAAATTATTTCATTTACTGATTGCCCAGAAATCAATAGAAAATCAATGTCTGCAAAATGAAAATGGTCATAAAAGGACTGACTATTTATCTACGCCCGCTGAAAACCAGTAATGACAGTGAGTTTCATAAATGAAAACTGGTTCTCTTTTGTCTGACCATTTAAGGCGCGTTTATCTCGAGTTTCAGAGTAGCCCCCGTCCCATGACCCGGCATTTTGTCTACATACTTGCCAAGTATCTCCTTTTCCATAGCAGCCTCCACCTGGCATTTCTGCAATTTGGCCTGATGCAACTGGGCCTCCAGCTGCACCTGTTCGTTAAGCTTCTCCAGGTGCTGCTCGCGCGTCTGATATTGCTCAGCCAGTAGTTTTAACCTAAAACGCAGGCCAGATGGTTAGGGAAAATCGGAAAACAGAGAACGTGCGTGTGCAGTGGCTATATTTAGAAGCGCTCTGTGGGGCGGCGATGCTTACTTCTTGGTCATCTCGATGTTGTAATCGCGCAGCTTGATGTTTTCCTCGTTGTTTTTGGCCAGGGACTTCTGGACATCGTTCAAGGAGTTTTGGAACTTCGTTTGGCTCTCCTTGCGTCGTTCCTCCTCGACTTTAATTTGCAGCAGACTCTCGTTTTTCACCGATTTAATGATGCGCTGCTGTTCGCGGCAAACCTCCTGCAGTTTGTCCCGCATCAGGACACTCTTGTTGAGATCCCTTTGGACTTGCTCTTTTTCCCTCTGCTGGGACTCCATGTGGCGTTGCAGGACCCGAAGTTCGGATGTCAACCGGCTCACATTCTTTTCACTATCCACATGACGTTGCAGTAGTAACTTTACCTTTTCCTCGGTAGAGGGGCATTCATCCAGAGACTTCATTACCTATAAGATAATCCAAACTTTGTTACAACTCCTCTATTTATCCCGTTTCCATGGCTTCTGAAAATTCCATGGAAAAACGCTGGGCTTTTAGTCCCCTGATATTACCAACTCCTCCAACTTCTGGTCGCGTTGCTTCTCCTCGCGCGCCACCTTTTTCGCCTTGCTTAGCTTCTCCATTTTATTCAGATCGGTGCTATATATAACTATTCTTTCTCCTTTCGAATTTTGACTATATTTGTTGTGTTCCGTTTGCAACAGGGTTGTCAATACAGAGTTCTCAAAACATCGATGGTACTATCGATAGTATCGATTGTTTTAGGACTATCACGACAAATTAGTGCGACGGCTTCTCTTTTCCTTCCAAAATACCGAATTTATTTGAAAAAGTTGCCAGAAAAGTCTCCAGCTAGGCACCGTTAAAATCTTCGCTACACAAAACAGTCGCAACTCGGGACACAGGGCTCTTGAAACGTTAACCGGTTTTTCACAGCAACGAAAAACCATTATTATATTCATAACCATTTCCCATATTCAATATAAAAGTGTTTAAATCTAAAACTAAAATTTATTTGGCGCCAAGAGTATTTGAAAAATAGCTGGCGCCTTAAAGCCCACTGTGGTCAGTTAACAGCACGCTGTTATTTCTTTCGGATTAGTTCATAAATTTTCCGCCAGATGTTGCAGGTGTGGAAAGCCTATGTAACCCTGGCTTTACAGTTATTGGCGCGATCCCCTAGGCTATTTATTACACGGAATTTCACATTTTGCATAATCTTTGCTAATTGTTTGCAAGTTTGTCATTAACCACGCGTTCGTAATTACGCAACATGTCGGAGAAAGAAGAAGAATCGATCGAATATCTGATGGAGAAGGGCATTTTTCCAAGGCTACTGGAAATATTAAGGCAAATGGTGGAAATAGATCCCATGCCAGCGGATCCACTAATGTATATTTTGCACTTACTGGGCTGTCCGCTGATTCCACAGGTTAGAACTTTTGATTGATTACTAAATTATTGATAAAATCTAAAATTTAATACTTCCAGGCTCAAATGAAGGCCTTGGAGCGAAAAGTGTCTCGTGCCCACGATGAGTTGCGCCATTTGCGACGTTTAATCATCGATTTGGATGGCGAAGATCAGCTCTACGACAGCGAAAGCGATGTGGAGGAATATGTGGGCGATGTGGAGGACACCAGTTCGTCCACCCACGAAATTTCCCTGGTGGAAAGCGTTGAATTCCAACAAGATGACTCCTCACAACTGGAATTATTAGTTCAGTCCTCCATATCATCATCTAAGGATTCGGATTTCTCCAATCAATAGATCCTGCAATATTATATCACATGTTTCACACCAGCCATTGAGCCTCTTTTTATGTTATGCAAACTTATGCTTGGCATCTGCATGTGAGTTTGGTTGTATCACTATTACATTTTGTTTATTCATTGCATTGTGACATCATTCATCGATTTTTATCCAATAATAATATAACTTTGTAACTTGTAGGGGAACTACCTCTATTATAAATCCATTAAAAAATATAGTTGAAGTATAAGAAGCGTATTTCATATTATAGTATTTTGATAATAGATCACAGTACCGCAACTTAGATTAGTTTGTTTTAAAAGGACTTTTACTTTCTAAGCTTAGAAAACGTTAAGGGTCGAGGAGGCCACTCATTTATCAAGTCATTTTCAGGTCCTAAAATCTAAATGATTACATTCTTTGAGTACTTTAAACTATCTTTTATATCAAGCAAAATATTCGTTTAAATCGCATTATTAATTATCTTATTTCTGGAAAACTTAAATCGCATTGTTGGAATTTAGATTAATGCTGAACAAGAATGCTGAAAAACCCAAAAAAAAGAATTTCATCTTTTATAGATCTCATCCTGACTCCGCCCATCAACACAGTTGATTAAAACATGGCCTTAGTGTTTGAAGTCCTGTTTTCCCTGGCTTTCACCCATTTCGACTTGATTGCTATTAAACCTCACAACCTGTGGGAAATCAATAACTAATATACGGTACATGTTTGCAGGCTATATCTAGGGCCAAACAAAACAACAATTCAATTAACTTCAACATGCTGGATGTGTAGCTGCAGTTTGGCTGCAAAACGATGAAATTTCATTTGCTACTAACGATATAGCCTCTGAACTAAAGGCGGGGATGCCGGGTTAGGGGTTTAGCTTATGCATCATTATCGAGCTGTAAATACGTTGGAGCTAATTAAGACTTGCCCCCGGTAAAATGCAGGGAGTTAATTTTTGTATTTGAAAGCCAAGCACAGCTAAAATACATTAAAAATAAAAAAAATACCAGAATACATAACTCACAACTCAGCGCATAAAATTAGTTGAAGCAGGAGAGTGTATTTTTAATTGGCTTTAGTGTGCTTAATAACTAGGTTGATGTAAAAGTGATGGGCAATAATGTATATATTTTACGAATGCAAAAAAGGCTTCATATCGGGATTAATCTTATTGTTGAAAGATACGTTTTATTTTATTTTTATACCCTTTCAGAGGGTATTATAATTTTGTTCAAAAGTGTGCAACGCAGTGAAGGAGACATCTTCGACCCTATAGAGTATATATATTCTTGATCAGGATCACCTCCTGAGTTGATATAGCCATGTCCGTCTGTTTCTACGCAAACTAGTCTCTCAGTTTTAGAGATATCGAATTGAAACTTTGCACACACCCGATCCCGGCCGACTATATCCTATAGCTGCCATATAACTGATTGATCGGAAATGTCATAACTTTGGTGTTTGTAAAGTTAGGAAGTTGGATTTTTTTATGGGGTTTGTTTTTGGCCAATCAATCCGACCTACCAAACTTCATAAGGATCGGCCGACTATATCCTATAGCTGCCATATAACTGAACGATTGGAAATGCCATAACTTTGGTGTTTGTAAAGTTAGGAAGTTGGATTTTTTTATGAGTATTAAGAATACATCATATGAATAATTTTGGAGAATATAATTTACAGAGTATTCTGCAAGGGTATATCAACTTCGGCTCCGCCCGAAGTTAGCTTTCCTTTCTTGTTTATTTATAACGTAAGTTTTATTTGTTTAACAACTAACTAATTAATCCAAAAATAATTTTTCCTATCAATATAATGTTAGAGTTAATCTAATTAAATCTTTTAACTAGATGTTTAACAAAATCATCAAAATGTTTTCTTAATTGTTTAAAAATATTCTACTCTACAAAAAAACGGGTTTGATATCAACTTAGGAATTTTGATGACAGAGCCAATAATGCTCAATCTTTTTTTGTAAATTTGCATACTTAATTTACCTTTTCTTGCGTGAAAATTCAACACGTATGTAGCTGCCTGAAAAAGCAGCAGGCCAAATGATTTACACCGTATATTTGTCACAGTGCGATAAATCCATCTAATCCCCCGACATCTGCATGTCCGGCTTGACAAATAAACTGCAGCAGAGCTTACATAAATATTTCTCCCAAAAAGAAAACATATTTTGCCACATAAAATAAACATGAACTTTTAGAGGGGGGCGGGCGGAAATAGGGCGTGGCCGGGCAGCAGCTGCTTTTAATTGCTTTTGCTGGTTTTCCGAACGTTTTTGCAACTTTTTAGTTGACATTGAATAATCGCTGCGGAAATTGTCGCTTAACGGAAAATTGTGGTAAAAGCAGAGTGGACTCAACTTGATAATTGATTGGACCTCTTTAAAATTGTTTGTTTGACCGCTGCCGCAGGCTATTCTTCCTTTTTTTACCCGTTTAATCCGTGCACGCGTGCCGACAGCAAAGTGGCCAACGGGCCTGCTCTTTTTTGGCCAAATTCTGCTTTGCATGTGAGTTGGCCGGGAACGTACAACTTTGACCACGTAAAATACAAGGTCCTTCGGGCAGTTGCCGCATGCCAAACCTAGGGAAAAACAAACTAGAGACGGAACCAAATAAAGTGCAGTGAGCCAAGGGGACTCAACGAATTGGGCATGAGCTATGATCAGATAGAGTCCCTTAAATTCAATTTTAAATATAAATAATTAGTGATTTCTGCTTTATTCAAAAGTGTA